CCCCGCGGCGCCGGTCCCGGTTCTGGCCGAGCGGCTCTGGCCCAGCCCGGCTCGGGTCCCGCGGCGTCGGTCCTGGACCCGGTCGAATGGCCCCGGCCCTGGCTGATCGGACCCGGACCCGGCCGAGCAGCTCCATGCAGCACGGTAAGGGAGCAGGGAGGTGGTGTTTGAAGAGGGCAGGGGAGTTCGGGGGCTTGTGAAGGGGTGGATAGGGATCAGGGTGGTCAAAGGGCAGGGAACAGGGGGATTGAATGGGGGCAAGGGTCCCTGGGGGCAGTCAGGAAGGAGCAGGGGTTGGATGGGGCGGTGGGGGGCAGTCAGGGGACAGGGAAGGGGGCTGGATGGGGCAGGGGTCCCAGGGTGGGGCCCTCAAGGAACATGGGGGGTTGGATGGGGCACGACCCCCTCGTGGCGTCAGGAGGAGGGAACCTGTTGTTAATATTTTGGCAGCTCATCACTGAATAGAGGGCTTTTGGATCTAGCAGACAAAAGCAGAATGAGCTCTAATAGCTGGAAGTTAAAAGCCACAACGCTCAAATTAACTATTAATGGCTGCTTCTTGAAGCAGCTAGGCCTGGAACCCACAAGGGAAAAGGCAATTCATGATTTAGTTTTCAGTGGCACACAGGATCTGGTCCAAGTGGTGAATATAGCTGAACTGCTCAGTAATAGCAACCATAATATATGAGCCCTAGTGAGGAGGGCTTTAAACTAGGTTCGACAGGGACAGGTGAGCAAAGCCCGGCAGGTAAGTGGGGAACATGGAGACCTGGGAGATGAATCGGAAACGAGAGGGAGTGTGGGCTATAATGGCAGAGAGAAAGGAGGGTCAGGGCAAAACTGGGAGGCAAGATCAAACCAGTATCTTAGATGCCTATATACAAATGCGAGAAGCATGGGTAATAAGCAGGAAGAACTGGAAGTGCTAATAAATAAATACAATATGACATTGTTGGCATCACTGAAACTTGGTGGGATAATACACATGATTGGAATGTTGGTGTGGATGGA